AGGAGATTTTTTAAATAAAACGAAGTGACTTGCAGGGGCCAAGCGGATAACACTTAAATTTTCCTTAGGGGAGAAACAGTTCGCAGAGAAAACATGAAACATTTTAAGCAGATCACGGACAGAGATGGAGAATGATATTTGATTGATGACATTGAGACGTAGACAATACTGTTTTTCTGGTCAGAAAGTTTGTTGAGAAACAATGAAACAGAATTAGTTGAAGTTTCCACACAAGAGATATACATACAAAAACTACCCACATTGAGTTTCAAAGTAGGAAGTTGTTTGATGTACTGAACTCTACTATGTTAAGATATACAAAATTCTCAACTGGCTTACAAATTTATTCATAAAACTACGTTTCGAATGATATATTCAAGAGCAAAATGTTAAATTCAAAAGGTTACAGCACTGATCGGAGCCATAAAAAAACGTTGAGTAATATCCATACCTCAATGTAATTTGCTATTTTGCAAATTTTACTTCTCACGGAAATTAGGAATGCTTGCTTCTATTAATTATAAATGAATCCCGGAAATAGTGATTATCCAAAATCTGGTATGATAGAAAGTAGCAACTAGCAAGCAAACACAGTGATAGCTTTAATCATCTTATGTGCGAGGGCTCCATTTATTAATTAGAGTGGATGTATATATAAATGGAAATCTCCACATTTCAAACGAATCCCGTCGATTGATGTTGAGTGTTCACAGGCCGGCTTGCTTACATAGGCCAGCCTATGGATTAATAAATTTTACCACGTTTCTAGCGTTTGATATTACTTAAATCAACTTAATTTGCCCACAAGCTAGTTTTTTCATCAGATGAATGTTTGTGCAAATATTCTATTACTCCTTTGCAACAGCGCCAGCGAATTTAATTTAGTTCTGATCAAAAAGTTGGAAAAACCACCAAAGCTGCTTATCTGATCTGAATATGCTGTTAATACGTACATATAGTTTTTCCATATTAAATTCCACTAAAAGGCTTACGGCAATAACTAATTTAAATTTTGCAAGCTTACCTTTAAAATTAATAGTAAAGCGTGCAAAATTCAGATAAAATACTTTAAAATTGTGATCACCAGCATAATCCAGTCACAGGCAATAAATCAATGCCGTCTCACACTTTGTCGCAACCCGGAAAGCCCTCTTAATTAAAACTTTTTGTTTCAAGCAAAGTATGACAATTTAGAATTAGACCAACTGAATTTACATTTTACGGTACCAACAGAAACCAGCTGGATGAAAGAATATAAATAATTGCCCTGACCGATGACACAGCAAAAAAATCTTCATATATGTAGGTTTTAAATATAATATGTCAATCGATTTCTTATGTAACATTTGTTATGAATATAATCTACCTACTCATGCATATTTCACGAGAGCTTTGGATGAGCTACCAAACTTAATACAGAACCTCTAGGGTGTTAAAATGATATACGATTTAGCTTGGATTTTATATAAAAGTTTGTCAGTGAAAGCAATAAAGTTGGGTTGGTTTTTTCTTTAGTCCGGCCCAGAGTCTACGCCATGGATTATAAATATGTTTCAATTTTTAAATCTATTTAAGGCATATATACAAGTGCTTCTCCAAGCGATCTTAAGCAGAAAAGTAAATACCAAAATAGAGAATTATTACTAGGAAAAACTTCGGATGCTGTGGCTGTATACTTGAATAATACCCTGTAGATAAGAAAATACATTACATGTTCTATAATTTATTAAAATTGAAGGTGGAGGGTGTGATAAAATTGAACAGTTCGACAATATTACACGTTTGATGTAAACGGCATTGAGATCAGTATTAACGGCAATTCCTAATACGCGTCAAAGCAGAAATTAGTTTCGGACAGCATAATTTGCTATTTAATCAATTCAGTTAATTCCTAATAACGTCTCAATATGTAATATAATATCGGCTTAACTTCACAAGGCACGCTGCTTCCCAACTTTCCTCCCTTCAAGATATATTAGTATGCAAAAGACAGCGTTTAGTTTCATAGCAATATAGGACTACCCCGAGTAAATAACTGTTTAAAAATGTGTATGTGGGATGTTTTCTAAACACCACCAAGCTAACTTAGTATACAGTGGTTAAACATCGTATATAATAGATGTTCGCTCTTATTGTTTAACGCTGGGAGAATAATTACCAGAAAAATACAATAAATCCTTACGGAGAAGTTATTGATGTCTCTTCGACTGTTGTGCGGAAACAGCATCCACAGAAAAATTAATAGAACTGCAGGTTTGCTAGTACTACTAATAAAGCCTCAAATTATCGCGAATCGATTACGGATGGACTTTTAGAGCCTTAAAAGCGATTTTTTTCTGCATTTGATTTTAAATTGAATGTCCAGTTCTGTTGTCGATTTCAAAAGGCCATTTCTAAAGCCTTTCATCACCCAATTAATTAGAGCATTTAGAGGATTGAGATTTACGCCGAAATTGTGGAAGGGTTGTTTGAACAACCCTTACAAGTTTTGTTTCAATAAAGTCTCAAAGCCCTATTTACAAAGCCAACATTTTCCAAGTTGAAAGTCATGTTTGATATGAATTTGCAGTAAATTTGTAGAAATTTCCATTCACTCCAGACTGTTTTTGTCCCAATTGAAGAGATGGATTTTTGTTGCATAGTTTTGAAAAACTCTCAATTAATATTCTCTATAAGCGACAGCCCAAAATTCCCCACTATCCTGTGAACAGTCGGTCAACCTGAAGTTGTCGTGTAAAGTGAAACCTGCTACTTAAAAGTTCATTGAAATAATTTATAATTACTATCAAAGAAAATTGCATTTCTTCGGCTTCCATTTACCTAAAAGGGAAGCAAACGGGGCTTGATGTTCACCGAGTACATTGTTGGTCGGGTTTAGCCCTTGCAAGGGGTAAATAGGAAATGCGGAAAAAGTTGTCGCATTCTGAAAAACACAAATAATAGGAATCTGAGAGCTGTTAAAGCTGTGCATAAATCAAAAAACCACAATGCTTTAGGTGTATTGTTACAAGCTCGGTAGTTTTAGTGGTGAGGAAGAAAAAATTGCGAATGAAAACGAAATTGAAAGAGCGAAAAAAATAAGAGAGCTGGTGTTGAATGACTATCGGGCCGGTTACATTATGCAGACACATGTAGCACCGTATCTAAGGAACACAAGGAAGATCGCTTGTCATATGGAGCAATCGTATGGGGATAAACGATTCCGATAGCCGTTCCGGAAATTATAGGTTTTTCTATGAAAATTACGATTTTCACATTTCATATATTTTCATGCCGTCCTGTCTGGTTTAAAGCACCTCTTAAATCGAGCCACTTATATTTTATATTTATGAAAACCTTTTAAGAAATTTGCTTAGAGATCGATTGGATCAGCGGTAGCCCAGCGGTGTTAGATAGAACGTGCAGTTGCATTTATTTTTTATCTGAAAATTTCAAATTCAATTACCATTTTTATCCTGATGAAATATACTATTATCCAACCCGAAAAGTGACAAATGTAAATAAATACTCCAGCTTAGTTATAATGAAAACATTCCTCCACCTCTTCGTATTTTAGATTTAATTGGATTGGTAAAGGGCCCAAAGCAAAAGATATATATTTCTGCCTTGCGAGTGGCTCTAACTTAGAGAAACATTTCACCAACTTCCTTGCTCCTGAGAGGTGTTTCAACCCTTTTGAGACGAATCTGGTGATAAGAGAATGGATCCTATTATGACCATTATCGTAAAGGGCCTTATTTAGAAGATTTCAACTAGATTACCTTAATTTAAATTACTCAAGATGCATCCTAATTCAATTTACCTACGTTTCACAACGAGCAGCATTAGCATCAAATTCCTTTCAGCTCTCAGATTGTCTATAATATACTTTAAAATGCCGTGAATATCTGTTGAATCGATAGAATAAAAATTAAATTCACAGTCAAGCCAATGAAACAAAACATTTAAAGTAACTTTCAAGAGAAACTATGGACGAGAGAAATCCCAAAGTTAGAATGAGATATGGACGTTGTCAATGAATCTTAGTCACCCCGTATTCGAGTGAAGCGAGGGAAGTTTTCATTAACACATAGCTATATTCAGTGGCGTCCCCTAATTTGTTTTAAACAGTCTAATTGAATTTCTGAAATAACGCGCTAGTATTTGGGGAGAATTTTGTAGTTTCACCTTAAAAAACCAGGTTGCATTACAGAAACCCACATATAATTATTGCTGACTTTGGGAGAAAACAGACAAATATAAGGGCTAACTTGAGTCATCCAATATCAACTGAAGTTATCTACCTGGTATAAGGCGTATTTTACATATATAGAATTAGTTTTTTGGCGTCAGATAACCGAATTGAACAAAATCTCACTTATTACCACCATAAAATATGCCTAAACAAGTAAATGTCTTGAAACTGTAGTCATATCCTGATATAACGAAAATATATATGTGTTCTTGTACTTTAAAAGCGATACGTCTATGATCCTGGAACAGCATATAGAAGGAAAGGAAGGTAAAACGTTTCGCAACATCAATAGGATAGATCTGTTCGGAATATCCAAGTTTACAGCCCAACCAGAGCTCATACAGTTTGTACATTAACCTAATTAATAAATAGTGTTGTAACCAGACAGAAATTTTACTGTATACTCTTTAAGTACGTGGAAATACTTGACTTATTAAGCCAGTTATTTACTATTCTTGATTGTGGCAAGTTTGAAATTTTACCGTGTCTATGAACTGTTGCAATTTACATTAATAACCGCGGGTTTATCTCAAGTTGTTTGAGCTCATGAATAAAGTTTTCAACAAAAGTTTCAGGACGTAATAATTATTTTTAGGTTGAATTTGCTGAGCTTTTTACATTCCATTTAGTGTCGATTGATTAGGTTCTAAGCTTGCCAATAATATTCACACTTATATAAAACATTTATTTGACAAAATTCAGAATAATATAAAAAAGCGTAATAATAAGCAGCAATTAATAAATTTAATAAGGAAAATATACTTACAGTTATCTACTTGAAGATCATTGTGTTAACTCAGCTGAATTATCACCCTGTAAAAAGAAAATTGATCTAATATTAAATTGACATTTACATGTATCGGATAAAACTTAGCGTCACTTTATTTCAAAGTTTCAACTCAATCCCCTAAATTTTAAGTTTATTTTTATGGTTAATAAAAATGGAACTATTGGCGCGCTCTTTTAAAACTTTATTTGTAGGAAAGCCTTGCCGCCAAATTTATTTTAGCGGGGAACAGTTACAAGAAGTTCTTTTATGGCGAGAATTGTCAAGTCAAGGAATCTTATTTGCCAGTAAAAAATATATATGAAAATGATATGTATTACAAGAATATTACATATTTTGTAAGTGAACTTTCAGGCTAGTTTTGCGAGAATCTTATTGATTTTTATATTTGGTGCAGATCCAGAAATCGTTGAGGAGAAGACAAAAACCACTTAACGCAAATTACATAATTTATATAAAACAGTGCTTTTCGTTTGTACGAGATGCATTTACTAATGATCTGATACCAATATCACTAAAAGCTTTCAATGGTAAATTCAAGTAAAGCACTAGATTATTACCCTGTTTCCATATGATTAACAATATTTACATTGGTCTATAAATAACGAGCAGTCTCCATATCCTATACTCATACGATAAATAACGAAACAACCGTTAGTAAATTAATAAATTTTATTTACAAAAATAAATCTCTGTTTATGCAAATACGGCAGAGTGAAATTTTGTTGACCACATTTCAGTTTAGTTTTACCTAAGGGCTATACATATTTCCAAAATACCGTTTCCGAATTTTTAAGGTAGTACGTGCCAAGATTTTAAATGGAAATTAGTTTAGAACTCTTATGAAGCAATCACAGATATGGAAATGTGAATATCCATATGCATTGCCCATATCTGCTTTGCAAAAGGACACCCATATATTGCAAAGTATCCTTTTTTCGACAAAATATGCGCCTCCTCTGTATAGATCGTCCAATAAAACTTGAAATTCGTCCACATTGCTGTTTAATATAGTTTTTTTTTTAATTTTGTTTCTCCATAGCTTCGTAAAATATTTCAATATTAAATTTATTTTGCGCAGATGCCCATTTCTCATCTCTTAAATACATCGCAGAATTGCAATATGTTTATATCTTTACTGGGGATGTTATATGAAGATAAATTAATATCTATTGGATTGGCGTTTATTTCTGGATGTAAGTAATTAATTGTTCAATAAGTGATGGGGAAACAGAATTTTCAGCTTTTTCTATTATCAATTTAATTTTACATTTCATGTTACAGTAATGTGTCAAGGTGCCATATGATGTTAGTTTATTTTTTACTCCCTGCTGATGTATGTGCCTGAGCCGAATTTAAATTTGAATAGAACATAATTTTACATAATGAAAAGAGAAACTTCAGTGGTGTTAAACATTACGGAAAACTCGCCCAATACCATACTCTTTAATTAAAAACCGGTAGAAAATGTTTATGCACTTTTACTTTTTGGATATGCAAATCTTGATGCAGTATATTTCATTTTCATTTTTGCGCCAGATATTGTTTTAAAAGTTCAAGTAATAAAGCTAAACATTAAATATAAAATGCAACTGTTGTTGTTGTTTTCATACTTCAAGGCATATAACCTACGTACCGATTTGATTCACTTAGAATAAGCTTCCGGTTTTATACGCCTTTATAAAAATACATCCGCAGATTTATTCATCTTAACAAAGTCGCGGAAGTTCATAGAAACAATAAATCGCGTCCATCATTTGTTTACTCTAATGCTGAATAATTTTTAAATGCGATAAAGTTTCTTTATAATGCTGGAAAAAATGTGCGCTTTATTTCAATGAATAAACACTGTAACTGGTTTGACTTTTGCAAAAGCTGTAAAGATTACATTAAATTAGTCCAGTTGGTGTAAATTATGAAAATACCTCGATCTAATTAAGGACAAAGTAAATGAAATATTAATTCTATAGTAGAGCGGTTATAATGCAACCAATTAATGTTCCAAGTTAATGAAACGGATGAGGGGACGCATGAATAGCAAAACGTAAAATAATTCTAAAATGAATTGACGAAACTTGTGAGAGCCATTGAAGGGCTTATTTTTGTCAGCTTAAAAAGCTGCAAAATCGCTGATGGGACTATAGGCGCTGAATGAAATCTGTGGAATTAAAGTGTCGATATGTTTCATTTATTAATGAATTGGTTTTTACACATCGAACATGTTTGCCATAATAGAGATAAAATGAAACGAGATTATATTGAAGCTAATTTCAATTAATACAAAACATTTAAAACGCGATCATTAGTTTTCGATTTAATTCTATAGATTTTGCTAATGAAGTTCAATCAATTAACTAAAAGGTGGAATTTGATAACGGTGCATATTGCTCTTGGAATTTTGGATGTAAATAGTTTGCTGGGTGTGAATGTGTTTATTTCAAAAGTGTGTTCGTTTTGTTCATGAATATACAGTTATTTATTGTCTTATTTGTTCAGTGTAGTCCGAAAACTTTTAGTACGCTTTCACTAGAAGTTAGCAGCAAATAGGTTTTTGTGTTTAACAGAGAATATTACTCTCTGAGTTGTACAAATAGCAGGTTTACTGTGGCAGCCTAATAAAATACGTTTATCAAAACATAACATTTTAAGCAGGTTATTCGAGTAAGAGAAAACATGATTAAATTAGTTCCACAAAAGAAACACTTTGTGGAATTAGCGCGGCTATTATGGAGTGCGTTGGTTGTATTCTTTTGTTGAAGCGCAAAATTGGGATTAGACCGGCACAGGCAGGTGGAGTTGTGCCGGCCTCATAAAAGAGACTATCAGAAGTGTGCCGTTTAAAACAGTTAAGCTATTAATATTTGAGAAAAAGTGCAAGAAATGGCTGGTTGACTCCAAACGATCTGCCTTTAAAAATGAATAAATAAAAAGTCCCCCAACGTTTCTGTTGGGAATTATTCATCCCGCCCAGACGAGGGCACCAAGGCACTCGACAAAACTCAAAACTGTCACTTTGCATCAGCCATCATCCACAGAGGAAGTCGTGTACATCTAATTGACCTTGCGCTTATAAATGACCGCAGTGATGCTGTCAGCACCAACAATCTGTACTATCTGATGAGACTAGGCCCACTCCTGCTTGTCGCCTCTAAACTATGGGGCCCGATATTCAAAAAAACTCTTTATTAACACTCCGAAAATGATGGCTGTCAGCGACATGCAAACGCAAATTACAGTGGATAAAAGGTGGCTCTTTAGCATGCTGCTGTTCACAACATCATTAAGATATCAGTTGAACTTAGTGCAAAAGTGAGGAAGTGCAAAACCGAAACCATCAAGAAGCCACCACTAATATTTTCCACCGGAAGCTCATCGCAGAGCCACGATGTCTTCAACATTTGATGCAGATGGAAATTTTACTTTAAAGTGAACAAGTGAAAGATATTGGAAATGGGAATTTGGGATGGTCAAAAAAAAACTTCGACCACGAAACCCGACTTGTGGAAATTTATTTTTGGCTCAATGAAATTTCACTATAGATAGCACGAACATTAGACCAACTTCCACAAAATAAGTGGCAAAGGAAATAAAAACAAACATTAATCCTAAGAAAGCTCCTGGCTTTGATTTAATTACTGGTGAAGTGCTAAAACAGCTCCCTAAAAAAGCTATAACCAAACTTACACATCTTTTTAATGCCTCATTCAGATTAAGGTATGTTCCTAGGATGTGGAAAGTAGCTGAAATCATTATGATTCATAAACCAGGCAAACCCTCTCACGATGTTTCATCTTATAGGCCAATCTCTCTCTGAAAAAATACTCCTGACAAGGCTGAAACCCATCATCGAAGAAAGGAATATAATACCAAATCATCAGTTTGGGTTCAGAGAAAACTACTCCACGATAGACCAAGTACACAGAATTTCAGACGTGATTGAAAGAGCACTGGAAAGTAAGGAAGTATCCTCAGCCATCTTTCATGATGTATCGCGGGCCTTTGACAGGGTATGGCACAATGGGCTGAAACATAAGCTAAATATGCTACTCCCACAAAAATACTCGAAACTATTGGAATCCTACATTTCGGACAGAGCCTTCAGAGTAAAACAAGAAGAAGCATTCACTGAAATAAAAAAAATCAGAGCAGGG